CAAACGTGCATATGATTTCTTAACTCTAGACTGAATTTTCTGCAGATTCTAATATAATGTATAAACTGTAAATTTGTGCCTTGATCTTGGTTCTAAGGAACAATCCATGCTGTAAATAATTTTGTTTTCTGCTACCATGTATGATCATTTCCTAATAGTGGTATCAGTGTCTAGGGTACCAGATTTTACAGTTTTTATGAATGGTTGACTACATGTATTTGATTGATAACATACTGCCTTGATGAATCTGCACAAAATCTGCCATGAAAGCATGTTTTAAGAAATCAATTAATTGATTAATTTATTTTGTTGATGATCTGTAATTTTGGAATATATTGGGTCATGGATTTTTGTTGAAATCAGTAGCTAAGATTGATTGTAAAATCCGTTTGGCATATTTTTGGTGGCTGGTTGAACTGATCTAATGCTACAGATCAGTGTACGCTCACCATGGCGATATGACCCATCGTCGCGGCGTGCGTTGTTTGGTGTACTCGCTGATTGCAAAATCAGCGCTCGTCGAGGCGATATAACCCATTGTCGCGGCGATCGTCCTTAACACGATCGCTGATTGAATATCAGCACTCACCGCGGTGATATAACTCATCGCCGTGGTAATCGCAGTCTAAGGTGCGCGCTGACTAAAATCAGTGCTTGCCGCGGCGATCGTACGTGGTGCATGTACGCAATGCAAATCAGTGCACGTTGCGGCGATCTAATCCACCGCCGCAGCGAGCACACTTTCGAGTGTGTAAAGGCCAAAGTGAAAAGTTTCAAAACTTTTTGACCAAATGTGGATCTGCAGATTGTCAGGGGGTAATTAATGATTCACCCATCCAATTCAAAAATTGATTGTTTTTTAAATGTATGCCATGTACTTATTTGTATATTGCATGGTGCCCGGTACATGAGCCTTAGACCTATGGTGAATGTTTTAAAATTTTTGGGTATGTATGGTTGTAATTTATTAAATAGGGCCTGCGTCTCCTACCTTTCTCCCCTTCTCGATGTAATTTGTATAATTAGGCTGAGAAATCTCAAGATAATAATCTGGTGAGACATTAAATAACAAACCCTCAATTAAAGTATATTAAGTCGCGTATGCCTTCCAACACCATGATTTTAATCAAACCACTGTTCGTCAGAACCTTGTTCGCCAAAGCGAAGGGTACACTTCTACTAGGGGAGGTTAAAATTCATTGAAGTTTTCCTTAATGGTGATGGATCGACTTAAAATGACGGTTTTGCTTGTTCGCCAAAGCGAAAGTTGATAAACGCGTCATAGGCATAGTAGAGAAGTACACATATTATGCTCTGATACCATGTAATCAGAATGAATGAAATAAGAATGAATGATTTTGTATTTCTTGAATGAATTGTAAAAGAATTGGGGTTAATTTGTAATACACAGTGAGAATGAAAAAGGAACACTAAAATAAATTTTTAATTTAGGGACACATTCAATTTCATCCCAAAATGGTCATTTTAGGGGACGAAATTGTAATTTCATCATAAAATGCTTAGCAATCAATTTCCAACCCATACCAACCATGGATTTCGCTAGTCATATGGAGGGCAGGATGAAATAATATGGAAGAAAATCATTCTGAGACGAAATTTATTATTTTTGGATGAAAAATTTTGTCACTAGAAACCTTTTTTCTCTAGGAGGAAATTTTTTGTCGCTAATTGTACAAAATTTGGAAAACTTATTAGGGACGAAATATGATTTTGTCCTTGATTGTAAAAAATACATTTCTAGGGACGAAATTTGGAAAACTAATTAGGGAGGAAATATTATTAGTTCTAGGTAAATGTAAAAACACCCAATTCCTTTTCTATTGCATTTGAAACAAAACCTAGACTTGCTTGCAAGTGAATTTCGATCTCTTGCTCTGAAATTGATTGAAACCCCAGATAAAAAATTTAGGTGGCGAATGAGGATTGGCTGATAATGGTAGGAAGGCGTGGCGGGTACCTTTGAGGATCCCGACATGCTCTAGACAAGCCGTCGTTTTCCTTTTTCTCTTCATTTCGCTCTTCGCTTCACCTCTACAACTGAATCAGGTTTCTTATTAGCATTTTTGTCATTCTATTGTTTGAAGAAAAAAGAGCTGGAGGCTGAGCTTGTCAGTGTTACGGGGACGGCTAGGCCAACTCAGAAGATCGGGTCAGTGCTTTCTTGTGAATAAGTATTTATGTGTTATCACAAGATAAACTTGTTTTTGTAGGATGCCTTCAGACCCTTTTTGCTGATGTTCTGGTTATGCTTTATCTTTTTTATACTCTTGTTTGAGCTCTTCCTTATTTTACACACGTAGTAGCTCTAGGATCTAACTTGGTAAGATGTGAGAGTGAACATGAACAAAAGCAATACAATCAAACTTTTAGAGATAGTTAGAGCTGAGCGAGAGGTAAGAAAAATGTATGGAGTTTCTGAAGAGGTGTCTCAAAGAAAGAACACGGCTAGGCATTCTATGTGAGATAGGTAGATGTCAAAATGGCACCCAGAACATTTTGTGGCATGTTTGTAGTAACATAAAGGCCCGAAAACTTCAAGGAGATGTCCATTTTTGCATTCAACAACCCTGTTTTGTTGAGGAGTGTCAACACATGAACTTTGGTGGATTATCCATGTTTTTAAGATAATTTCCTTAGATAGTGTTGAAATATTTTGTACCATTATCAATACGAGGATTTGGATTTGTGTTTGAATCACAGAGTGGAAATTAATAAATACAGCATGAACATCAACTTTCAACAAATAACCCAACAAACCCAAGTATGATCATCAATAAATGTAACAAACCATTTTGTGCGGTTATGATTAGGAATGTGAGAAGGTCCCGTAAGTTACTATGAATCATGGTAAACATTTGGGGTTTATTGAGATTAAAAAAGAGGTACATTGATGCTTCGCTAATTCACATTTCACATGAAAATTAAATATTTTTATTCGAGAAAGTGGAAGGCAAAAATGTTTAAATATTGAAAATAAGATGACCCATTCTAAAATGTCATAACAAAATTTCACTATCCCTAGAAACAGATCAGAATCACAAATTGCAATTTGACATTGTTCCTCACATTGGCTCTCAAAATAGTAGAGTCCCTCACACACTTTAGCACTGCCAATCATCTTCCCTGGTGATAGGTCCTGGAAAACACAATAAAAGGAAAAGAATTTAGTGAACAATTTGAACTTTTTGTTAGCTGGCTAATGGACAATAAATTATAGGACAAATTTGGGACATGGAGAACATACTCAAGGGTTATAGAATTAGTGATTCGGATACTCCTTTTCCTAACAAATGAGAGTGAGCCATCTGCAATTCTAAAGTAAGATTACCACACAAGGTGAGTACGCGGAGAACAAATGGTAAGCATCGTCAGTGATCTGAAGCACCGGAGTCAATAATCCAAGGGATTTTGTGCAAAAAGTGGTACTTAAGGCACTCAAAAATTACCTTTTTGGGCTAACAAAGTAGAGGAAACATTTGTGGAAACTGACCAAAAGGTTGGAGGCTAGAGAAAATTGTAGAGTTGCTCTAGCTGCTTAGGATTAAATGCTTTACTTGAAGTGGAATTTTTCCATTCACCTCTTGAGATTTCTCAGCCTAATTATCAATCGCAACTTGATAGCCAGGATTTCTATTATTCTGCCTTGGTTTCCAATCAGCGGCTTCCCATGTATTCCAACAAGTATCCTCGTGTGTCTGAAGCCCATAAGTCATTAGGGTAAAATTTCAGGCCGAGTAGGCTCACTATTAGCATTATCCTTCATCACATCTCCTCATTCTTTCTTGTCACTTCTGAAATCATTTCGCGAAATAAAGGAAGGGGTGGCGACTGAGAATTGTCCCCTTACATCGCCAAATCTCGATGAACCCAGCGAGAAATTCAAACACCGCTCATTTCAAGATTCTTCTTGTACCTAGCGCTATCCCGCGCATTCCCATTCTTCTTCGAAACTGAAATCAAGTTCTGCTAGCGGACATCATTTCCATGTACTAGTCAGTGACTTCTCTCTCTCTTGCTTGATTTGCCACAATTGAGTCTTGATCTCAAAGATATTGGTGAATTTTCACCATCAGAATTGTGTGTAACGGCATCCCAAACTTGTTTCACTGTGTAAGGAAGAGATACGTCTTTCGCATGGAGGGCTTCATGAAGTTGACGAGCAAGAGGTCACCATTGAGTTCTTTGATTTCCATTGTGCAGAGAGGCGGCGTGTGTTGGCTTCTTCATCTCACCGGTAAGGTAGCCCAACTTTCTTTGGCATCGACCACGAGTTTATTGACTAAACCCATTCGCAATAATTCCTCCCACTAAATTCCACCATGATTTGAAAAGATGAATTATCTCTTCCAATTGAATCATGGTGGAGATTACCTCTATCTCGTCTCAAAAGTTTTAGAGATCTCTAATTCTTTGTTAATGGGAGGTTACACTATTGATTGCTAGGTTGAAAAATCGTTTAGCTAGAAAATCTACTCAAAAGCCCTCAAATTCCTTGGAGAAGTGAATGAAAATTTGAGAGAAAATGGAGGAGAAGAGTGGCGGTGGAATGAAGGAAATAAAGGTTACAAACCCTTATCATCTTATTTTACAAATATGCTTTCCCATTTTGCCCTTACACTTTTTTGGAAATTCCATCCTTGTCCCTTAGTCAATTACCATAATGCCCTCATTTTTATTGTATTCTTTATGAAATTCTATCTCTTTTCACTCCCCACAATTTTAACTAATTTTGATTGAAAAGACTATTTTACCCTTAATCAAGTTTAAGGCATTTTCTTTATATTCTCTTAAAATAATTCTAACAAAAATTAACTAAGGGATATAAAACTTAATTTAAATCATGTACCTCCATGTTGGGCGTTACACAACTTGCAAATGAAATCATTGAAGTTTTGCCGAAAAAGCCCTTCGGTGAAGATATCTGTAGTTTGCTCCTTCATAGGAACATAGGTTGTACAAATGATTCCATCTTCAACTTTTTACTTAATGAAACGTTTGTCCACTTCTACATGGTTGGTCCTGTCATGTTGAACTGGATTGAGAGAAATGTTGATGGCTGCTTTTTTATCACAGTACAGTTTGACTGAATATTTTATTATGATCTGAAGTTCTTCCAAGAGTTTCCTTAGCCACAAAACTTCACATATCCCTTGAGCAATTACTCGAAACTCAACTTCAACACTGTTTATAGCCACTACATTATGTTTCTTGCTTCCCCAAGTTACTAAGTTTCCAAATACAAAGGTGCAATACCCGATGGTAGATCTTCTATCTTCTGTCGAACCAACCCAATCCGCATCGGTAAAGACTTCTACTTCCTTGCTTGCATTCTTCTTAAAGAATAATCCTCTACTCGAGAAGCCCTTAAGGTATCTAAGAATCTTGTACATAGCTTCTAAGTGAGCTTCCTTTGGTGAATGCATATCTTGACTTACCACACTGACTGCAAATGCAATGTCAGGTCTAGTATGGGATAGGTATATAAGCTTCCCAACTAGTCTCTGATATCTGTCTCTTTCCACTAGTTTTCTGACAGCGTCTGTTCTTTTTCTTGCTTCGATCGGTGTGTCACTCAATTTGTACCCAAGCATGCCGGTCTCAGTAAGAAGATCAAGGACATATTTTCATTGAGAAACACTAATACCTATTTTTGATCTAGCAACGTCCATTCCTAAGAAATATCGTATTTGTCCCAAGTCTTTTACTTCAAACTCTTTGGCTAGAGTTTTCTTCAGTCTCTCCATTTCTACTATATTATCCCCAGTTAGGTTTATGTCATCGACATAGACAATTAAGATTGTCTTCTTCCTATCTCCAGTTTGCTGGAAAAACATAGTATGATCATATTGCCCTTGGTGATATCCTTGATTCTTTATCACCTTTGCGAATCTATCAAACCATGCTCTTGGTGATTGTTTGAGATCGTAAAGGGACTTCTTGAGTTACACACCCGGTTTTCTTCACCCCCTTTACAAAAAACCTGGTGGTATTGTCATAAAGACTTCTTCTTCTAATTTTCCACTCAGAAATGCATTCTTTATGTCAAGTTACTAAAGAGGCCAATCCAAAATTGCTGCTAAAGACAAGAGAACCCTAACTGTATTCAACTTTGCCACAAGTACAAACGTCTCTATGTAATCAATTCCATAGATTTCTATAAATCCCTTTGCAACCAGGCAAGCTTTATAACATTCTATCATCCCATCAACCTTGCATTTAATAGTAAACACCCACTATTAGCCAACTGGTTTCTTCCCTTTTGGTAAATCGGCCACCTCTCAAGTTTCACTTTTTTTTTCAGTGCCCGAGTTTCTTCCATTACTGCCTCTCTCCATTTGGGAAGTTCAAGGCATCCTGAATATTCTTTGAAACTCTGTACTATCAAGGTTAGAGGTGAAAGCATGAAACTTAATAAACAGAGTATTATATGATACGAATCTTGAAATAGGATGAAGAGTACATGACCAAGGTTGTTTTCTAAGTGCAATAGGTAAATCAAGAGACTTAGAATTACCTGGTTTGGGAGGAGACTCGTGAGTATTCGGATCTACCACTGGTTCTGACTCTCTTGGTGTTTCATGTGTGAGATTCTCCCTATTCCTCAAGTTTGACCTCCTTGAATAAACAATTGGCTCCTTGTCATTTTGTTCCCCCAGAGTTCAAGTTTTCTTCTGTAGATGGTATATTAAAATTAGATGGTATATTAAAATGAGATGGTGTGACAAGCTCAAGCTGAGTGTTTAGGTCAGATTTAGTGTTTGGGCTAAGCTTGGAAAGAGAGAGATCAAAGTCCAAAAAACAATCTTCACTCAAATTCTCCCTCTAAAGAGAAGGCTTTTGGAAGTAAGGAGTGTTTTAAAAAAAAAAATGTAACTTCGAGGCTAGCAAATACCTTTTTGGTAGATGGATCATAGCACTTGTAGCCTTTTTTAGTAGGGGAATAACCAATGAAAACACACGTAGTAGCTCTAGGATCTAACTTGGTAAGATGTTGAGAGTGAACATGAACAAAAGCAATACAATCAAACACTTTTAGAGATAGATTAGAGCTGAAGCGAGAGGTAAGAAAAATGTATGGAGTTTCTGAAGAGGTGTCTCAAAAGAAAGAACACGGCTAGGCATTCTATTGATGAGATAGGTAGATGTCAAAATGGCATCCCCCCAGAACATTTTGTGGCATGTTTGTAGTAAACATAAAGGCCCGAACAACTTCAAGGAGATGTCCATTTTTGCATTCAACAACCCTGTTTTGTTGAGGAGTGTCAACACATGAACTTTGGTGGATTATCCCATGTTTTTGAAGATAATTTCCTTAGATAGTGTTGAAATATTTTGTACCATTATCAATACGAAGGATTTGGATTTGTGTTTGAATCACAGAGTGGAAATTAATAAATACAGCATGAACATCAACTTTCAACAAATTAACCCAACAAACCCAAGTATGATCATCAATAAATGTAACAAACCATTTTGTGCGGTTATGATTAGGAATGTGAGAAGGTCCCCGTAAGTTACTATGAATCATGGTAAACAGTTTGGACGGTTTATATTGAGACTTAAAAAAGAGGTACATTGATGCTTCGCTAATTCACATATTTCACATTGAAAATTAAATATCTTTTTATTCGAGAAAGTGGAAGGCAATAAATGTTTAAATATTGAAAATTAAGATGACCCATTCTAAAATGTCATAACAAAATTTCACTATCCCTAGAAACAGATGCAGAATCACAAATTGCAATTTGACATTGTTCGCTCACATTGGCCTCCTCAAAATAGTAGAGTCCCTCACACACTTTAGCACTGCCAATCATCTTCCCTGGTGATAGGTCCTGGAAAACACAATAAAAGGAAAAGAATTTAGTAGAACAATTTGAACTTTTTGTTAGCTGGCTAATGGACAATAAATTATAGGACAAATTTGGGACATGGAGAACATACTCAAGGGTTATAGAATTAGTGATTCGGATACTCCCTTTTCCTACAACAAATGAGAGTGAGCCATCTGCAATTCTAAATGTAAGATTACCAGCACAAGGTGAGTACGCGGAGAACAAATGGTAAGCATCGGTCATGTGATCTGAAGCACCGGAGTCAATAATCCAAGGGATTTTAGTTCAAAAAGTGGTACTTAAGGCACTCAAAAAATTACCTTTTTGGGCTAACAAAGCAGAGGAAACATTTGTGGAAACTGACCAAAAGGTTGGAGGCTAGAGAAAATTTTGTAGAGTTGCTCTAGCTGCTTAGGATTAAATGCTTTACTTGAAGTGGAATTTTTCCAATTCACCTCTTAAGATTTCTCAGCCTAATTATCAATCGCAACTTGATAGCCAGGATTTCTATTATTCTGCCTTGGTTTCCAATCAGCAGGCTTCCCATGTATTTCCCAACAAGTATCCTTCGTGTGTCTAGAAGCCCATAAGTCATTAGGGCAAAAATTTCAGGCCCAGTAGGCTCACTATTAGCATTATCCTTCATCATCACTCTCCTCCTACTTTCTTCTCTTGTCACTTCCAAAATCATTTCGTAAAATAAAGGATGGGGTCGCCGATAGAGAATATTTCCCCTTACATCACCCAAATCTCGATTGAACCCAGCGAGAAATTCAAACACCCGCTCATTCTCAAGATTCTTCTTGTACCTAGCGCTATCCCCTGAGCATTCCCATTCTTCTTCGAAACTGAAATCAAGTTCCTGCTAGACGGACATCATTTCCATGTACTAGTCAGTGACTTCTCTCTCTTCTTGCTTGATTTGCCACAATTGAGTCTTGATCTCAAAGATATTGGATGAATTTTCACCATCAGAATATGTGTCTGTAACGGCATCCCAAACTTGTTTCACTGTTGTAAGGAAGAGATACGTCTTTCGCATGGAGGGCTTCATGAAGTTGACGAGCCAAGAGGTCACCATTGAGTTCTTTGATTTCCATTGTTGCAGAGAGGCGGCGTTGGTTGGCTTCTTCATCTCACCGGTAAGGTAGCCCAACTTTCTTTTGGCATCGACCACGAGTTTTATTGACTAAACCCATTCGCAATAATTCCTCCCACTAAATTGCTCCACCATGATTTGAAAAGATGAATTATCTCTTCCAATTGAACTCATGGTGGAGATTACCTCTATCTCGTTCTCAAAAGTTTTAGAGATCTCTAATTCTTTGTTAATGGGAGGTTACACTATTGATTGCTAGGTTTAGAAAAATCGTAGCTCTGATACCATGTAATCAGAATGAATGATTTTGTATTTCTTGAATGAATTGTACAAGAATTGGGGTTAATTTATAATACACAATGAGAATGAAAAAGGAACACTAAAATAAATTTTTAATTTAGGGACAAATTCAGTTTCATCCCAGAATGGTCATTTTACGAGACGAAATTGTAATTTCCTCAAAAAATGCTTAGCAGTCAATTTCCAACCCATGCCAACAATTGATTTCGCTAGTCATATGGAGGGAAGGATGAAATAATATGGAAGGAAATCATTCTGAGATGAAATTTATTATTTTTGGATGAAAAATTTTGTAACTAGAAACCTTTTTTTTTTCTGGGATGAAATTTTTTGTCGCTAATTGTACAAAATTTGGAAAACTTATTGGGGACGAAATATGATTTTGTCCTTGATTGTAAAAAATACATTTCTAGGGACGAAATTAGGAAAACTAATTAAGGAGGAAGTATTATTAGTTCTAGGTAAATGTAAAAACACCCAATTCCTTTTCTATTGCATTTGAAACAAAACCCAGACTTGCTTGCAAGTGAATTTCTATCTCTTGCTCTGAAATTTATTGAAACCCCAGATAAAAAATTTAGGTAAAAAATTTAGGTGGCAAATGAGGATTGGCTGATAATGGTAGGAAGGCGTGGCAGGTACCTTTGAGGATCCCGACATGCTCTAAACAGGCCGTCATTTTCCTTTTCTCTTCATTTCGCTCTTCGCTTCACCTCTACAACTGAATCAGGTTTCTTATTAGCATTTCTGTCATTCTATTGTTTGAAGAAAAAAGAGCTGGAGGTTGAGCTTGTCAGTGTTACGGGGACAGCTAGGCCAACGAGAAAGATCAGGTCAATGCTTTCTTGTGAAGAAGTATTTATGTGTTATCACAAGATAAACTTGTTTTTGTAGGATGCCTTCAGACCCTTTTTGCTGATGTTCTGGTCATGCTTTATCTTTTTTATACGCTTGTTTGAGCTCTTCCCTATTTTTGGTATTGTGCTATCTGTAGATAAAAGTTATAGCATCAACTTCATAATGTAACACACATGTATATATTTAGTGTTCTCCCTTTTCAAAAAAGAAATTTCCTTGTTTTTCAATTTTGTCAATTACCTAGAGCTACATGCATCCAAGCCCATGTGCTGGTGTGATGTGCTGTTTTCAAGTCCACTAAATACTGAATTTGTAATTTTTGTGAGCCAGGAGTTCAGTTGGGTTTTGTTAATGTTCAATTGTCTTCTTTTATTTGTAAATTAATGTCTACCAATCTGTATTAAAACCGTTTTGTCCAAGATGTGTAGGACCCAGGATGTTTTGTCCAAGATGTCCAAGATGTTTTAAGGCAGAACCCAGGATGTTAGTTAGCCTAGAGTGTAATTCATCTTGTTGATCAAACAAAGTTGGTGGTATTTCACTACAAGAAATTTAACATTTAGGGACGAAGTCAGTTTTATCCCAAAATGGTTATCTTAGGGGACGAAATTATAATTTCGTCACAAAATGTTTAGCAATCAATCTCCACCCGCGCCAACAATGCCATTTAGAGGGAAGGATCAAAATAATATGGAGGGAAATCATTCTGGGACAAAATTTATTATTTATGGACAAAAAAATTCGTAGCTAAACACCTTCTTTTCTGGGACGAAATTTTTTGTCTCTAATTGTATACAATTTGGAAAACTTATTAGGGACGAAATATGATTTTGTCCTTGATTGTAAAAATACATTTTTAGGGACAAACTTTATTAGTTTTGGATGAAAAATTTTGTAGCTAAAACTTTTTTCTTTTGGGACGAAATGTTTTTGTCTCTAATTGTACAAAATTTGAAAAACTTATTAGAGACGAAATATGATTTTATCATAGATTGTGAAAAATAATTTTTTGGGGACGAATTTTGGAACTCATGGTCATCCTAGAATTGTCATTTTAGGGGACAAAATTGTAATTTTGTCACAAAATTCTTAGGGTTCAATCTGGAGGGAAGGATGAAATAATATGGAGGGAAATCATTTTGGTACGAAAGTTATTATTTCTGGATGAAAAATTGTGTAGCTAAAACCCTGTTTGTTCTGGAACGACATTTTTCGTCTCTAATTGTACAAAATTTGGAAACTTATTAGGGACGAAATATGATTTTGTTCTCGATTGTGAAAAATGCATTTTTAGGGAAGAAATTTGGAAAACTAATGAGGGAGGAAATATTATTAATTCTAGGTAATAGGGGTGTTCAAAACCGGTTTGGTTAGCTGGTTTCCATATTCTCCCAAACTGGTAACCAAACCGAAAATTTGGTTTTTTTATTTTCTTTGAATTGAAATCGAACTGGTTTTTCAGATAACTGAAAATTCGACTCGATTACCAGTTCGATTCGGTTTCTACATTTTTTTTAACACCGCTACTAAGTAAATGTAAAAACACTCAATTCCTTTTCTATTTCATTTGAAACAAAACTCAAACTTGCTTGCTGGTGAATCTCGATCTCCTGCTCTGAAATTGATTGAAACCCAAGACAAAAAACTGAAAATTAAGTGCAAATGGCGAATGAGGATCAGTTGAAAATGGCAGGAAGGCGTGGTGGGTACCTTTAAGGATCATAACATGCTCTAACACGCCATCGTTTTCCTCTTTCTCTTCATTTTGCTCTTTGCTTCAATACTAACAAAAAAATTACCCACAGCAACACTGAACAATAACACTTTTTGAAAATATGTTACTAATACGTATCTATGGTAGCATTTCTTGTGAAAATGTTATAAATATAATTTTGATAAGTAACACTTCATATTTTTATAACTCATTATCTATCAATTGTTGGATATGATTAAACCACCCCTAGGTGATCGAATGGGGTGATAGGGACTCTTACGTGCATTAATCAAGAGGTCTTGAGTTTGATTTCTCTCGATTGCTAATAGAGATGACCACGTGAAGGTTTACGCAATCGTTAACTTTATGACCCCGAAGGATTAGTCGAAGTGTGCATAAGTTGGTCTAGACACACTCGATTATCAAAAGAAAATATAATAATAATAACAAGCTAGCTTATATTAATTATAGTGAAAAATGAACTTATAGTGAAAAAGAACAGTTTATTTATCCTTATTTCTATATTATCAAAATAATTTAAAATGCACAGTTTACACTACCGTATCAACAAATCACTAATTAAAGGAGACATTCATGTTCTTAATAATAATACCATTTTTAACCCAAAAAAAAAAAAAAAAAAAATATCTAAATAAACGTAAAAATTAAATCATTTTATTAATTAAAAGAAGGAAAGAATTGTAGAAAAAGAAAACATCAGCTGCCTTCTCCAACGTTCTTTGTTGTTCTTCACTTTTTCATTTTCCAGACGCACACATTTTTATCACTTGTAATCAAGCCTATCAGATTCTTCTGCTTTCCTCAAATCACAAGGTGCCTTCTAACTATCATCATTCTTCCGTCATAATTCTTTTTTATTTGTCTTGAATTGGGCCTTAATTTTGTTCTTATTTAAAGCATTTACGTCTACTTTTGTCTTGATTATTTGTGAATTTTCAGCCTTAAGTTTTCCTCTCCGTTAAATCATAGGGTTTATTTAAAGTTTAGAATGTTTATATATCTACTTGATTAGTAAATGGTTTATCAAAATTAAGGCTTTGTTAGTTCAGATTGTTGATTCGAGTTTCAACTCTTTATTAGGTTATTATATGCTTCTAAATGAGCAATCTTTTGTTGGAATTATTTTGGTGCTAGTGATGTGATGTGGGTTTTACTAATTTATTTACATGAGCCAACAGGGCTGAGACTTGTAAATGAATTAAGAGAAAGTGTATAGTTATATTAGAGAGGTACAAGATTGTTGAGTGAGTATAGATAGAGTAGGTGGGTAAGAGAGTATTAATGGGAATTAGAAGAGTAATAGTGGGAGTATAGTTGTTTCCAAGTACAACTATAATGAAGCAAACAAGGAATAAAAAGAAATAACAAATTAAAAAGAGGAAAAAGAAAACAGTTAGAGGTTGGGCAGTTGTTGCGGCAGCATAAATTGGGAGAAGCAACTCACCAACGTCTTTAATTTTTTTGGTCAAAAAGATAGAAAGTTAATAGATTTTTGTCAGTAAGTGTTTTTAAGAAGTGGGACATGATCTAGATCAAGTTCTTGTAGCAATTTTGTCCCTTTAGATTTTGCTTCAGGAATATGCCACTTTCTGTATTTTAAGTCTTTTCTTAATAATCCCACATATTCTCTTTGTCTCACTTTAAGTATTTTTTTTATATATTTCTTTAACATCCAAATCTACATCTACGATGAGGTTTATGTTTAAGTCTAGCTGTTCTATGTTCTTAACAGACATCTTTGGCATTTATCAGAGGGACTGTAGCTAGCTACCGAAACATAAATAAATAAATAGCTTTTCTGATTCAGTTGTATATGACATATATGGTCATTGAAAATTAACATATCTTACATATAATAATTATAGCAATTGTAATTCCGCAGTGATCAACGGCAGCGATTTGACTTCCATTTCACATACCTGACTTTTTTAGTTTTGTCCGACGGCTCTTTAGCTCGCACGACCCATTCTGGCGGCTGTCCACCTTTTTTAGTCTTTGGTTAGGTGAGTTCTTAATCTTTATTTTTCATACTTGTTGTGACATGTACTTTATTATAGAAGATGGTTTCAGTTTTACGCCGCTGCTCTAAGGCCAAGGGAAAATTTGCAACTAGTCCTTCTCATGCATCAAATAGTGGTACAACTATTTCACTCAATTCAGTTGAAGATGTTCCTCTGATTGTCTCTTCGCAAGATGAACAATTTCAGCCTTCTCCTCCCATTGCTCCTTCTATCACATTATCTCATTCAGAGGATGTCACTCTTCCTACTACAGGTTTGGGCTCTCATTAAATTTCTTAAAATGTCGGTCTTCCTTATACGTTTTCATTACATAGTATAAGTCTTTTTACTACTAATGATAAATTTCATTTTTATCACAATAGATTTCACCTCAACCAAAGTGAAAAGTGGTCGCACACGAGGGAAAGGCCTAAGTAAAATGAACAAATCCTTTGGTAAGAAGTTGAAAGTGCATGTTGATTTGATCAAATGGAAGGATATGGAGGTTCATGATTTCAACCTTGCACTGGATAACTTAGACGTAAGTGTATTCATTATTTATTGTTTTTTATTGGGAACAATAATTCTATTTTCTTTTACTTGATATGATTTGAGAAATAGACACATATTAGGTTATTTAATCATTCTTTATTAGATGTACTATTCATTAATAGAGACATAGTTACATATTTGGCTTATTGGATCACTATATAGAGTCACCTAATGGGTATTACATATTATACATAGAGTTTCATATGTTCTTATTCTTTCAACAAGCAACATGCATACTTGTTTTCTTTCTTTCAACAATGACAATTGTCTATAGTAATAAAGTGTAACCAATTATTTGTTTAGCTCCACATGGAAATTGAAGACATAGGTGATGAAGCAATACAAGAGAAGATTGAGCAATTGTTGAAGAATCGATCTAGGAATGCACGGTATAAGTTGCACAAACATTTTAAGAAACTTACAACACTTGAGGAGGCACAAAGAAACAAGACAAAAGAAAATGGTTTGACTCAAGATAATTGGAATTTACTTTGCAAATATTGGTCTGATCCTAATGTGAAGGTATAAAATCTTATAGTTGTGAAAAAATCTTATAGTTGCAAATATTGATTATTAGACCAATAATCAATACAAGGAATTTACGAGATTCACTATTTTACCGGGTTTGTCTAATGTAGGCAAAATGTGAAAAAAATGTTGAGAATCGAACAAAGAATACTATGCCACATAACCAAGGATCTGTGGCTTTAGTGGTGGTCCGCAATGAGATTGTAGGTACTCTAAATAGCCTTCATTTTTAACTTGGATTCTTTTCGTTAGTTTAGTACAAACATAAATATAAATCAAATTTGATTAGTCATATAAATTCAGTTATTTGGAATTTGAAATTGTATTGTTACCAATTTGGATGTACATGAAATCAGGAGGAGAAGGAGCTTAATGGGGAGGAATGTGATCGAATTAGCTTTTTTAAATTCACTCATTTCAAAGAAGGAAAGGGTTGGATGCCCCCAAAAGCTGAGGCAAAATATGTAAGTGAAATTAATTAGTATTCAATTGATTGTATGTAACAACGTTGTGTTTACTTACGATGATTGGCATTGTTTAACTTAATTTGATGTTTATATTGAATGTCCTAAAATGTGGAATGAAATGATAGAATTGAAGGAAAAAAGCTCATTAGATGACAAGCCATTAACTACAGATGAAATTTGTGATCAAGTGCTTGGAACTCAATCAGGATATATTAAGGGACTTGGGTATGGTCCAAAGCCTAAGAAAAAAGCAGGACCAAGTCTTCAAATTAAGAGACTTGCAGATGCTCTTAAAGAATCTGAAGATAGATTTAGAGAATCAGAGAAGAGAAATCTCAAGTATCAAGAGAAAGTAGATGAACTAACCTTACGCTTAGAATGACAAGAAAAGATGTTTGAGATGTGGCTTGCCCCTAGAAATCATCCACTTGCTCCTTGAAGGTAAAAATCATTAGCAATATGTCTCCCTAATGTTTTATGTTAACTTTATCTTACAAACTTTAGACAAATATATAGTTGAGTAATTGTTAATAATGATTGTTGCAGACTTGTTTGACATGCGTATACCTAGACGTCCATCAGCTTTAGCAATTCGCTTTTTTGCTTCTTTTGACATGCAGCTACTATATGAGTGGTACCTTTTTTGACATCCAAGTAGTGAAGAAAATAGTATATATTTTGACATCCAACTAACAAAGAAAGTGTAGTTATTTTATACTATTGGCTGATACATTCTATACTTTTTGTTTATATGTTAGTTTCAGTTGGATGTGTTTATGATACTATTGGCTTATATATATATAATATTTTGTTATTACTTGGTTATTTGTTGATTTGTAGTAGTATCAATTTGATATTAAGTAATATTTTTCACTTAGTTAAAAAGATGTTTCATATGAATTTTTTGACTTTGAGAATCAATACATTTGTTAATTTTCAATCAGGAATAAATTCTCATTGTAATTCATCATAAAAGAAAGGACGGAATTTTTAGTCCCTAAATATTGACAGGGATGAAAATTTTTGTCCCCAATTCACCACACCATCAAGGACGAAAATCTTCATCCCCAATTCACTATAGCCTGAGGGAAAGAAATTTTCGTCCCTAATTCACCATTCCATAAAGGACGAAAATCTATGTGCCCAATTCACCACACCATCTAGGATGAAAATTTTCGTCCCTAATTTGCCACACAGACAATGACCAAAAAAATGTCCCTAATTATCTACCCAATCAAGGACGAAAAAAATTTTTCCTCAATTGTGCATTTTTTGGGGACGAAATGACATTATTTGGGACAAATAGTTATTCTTTGTGGACGAAAAATTTTGTCACAAAATAAATAATCTTTAGTGACAAAATTGTATTTCGTCCCCAATGGCGTGGCTTTGGGGACGATTCGTTTTTCCGTGGGCATGCAACGTGGCTTTGGGGACGATTTGGTCTCTCGTCCCACATTACTTTTAAGGACGAATATTCCACTTTCTGTGACAAAAATTTCCGTCCCTAAATGTTAAATTTCTTGTAGTGTTTGTATGATAGTAGCATTGTTATATGTATTTTGTATAACATGTCCTTGTATCCTATTGTGTTACTTGAATTTAAAATTGATTGAGGAGATCCAGCTAGTCAGTTTTACCATACATGTGGTGGAATCAATTTACATATAATTTTAGACCTGAACAAGATAAGGAGCCAGAACAGGAGACTGTGTCTGAAAATGTGGGTCCTGGTGCTCCCGAAGAGTCTGCAGCTAAGGGTATGTCGTTTTCATTGAGGGACTATGGAGTATGGAATTTATGATCTTGTTATTTTTTAACAGTGTTGCTATTGTGATAGTGTTCATTTTATTTGTGTTTCTATAACCTATGTTTTTTATATTTGGGCATTGGCTTGATCATTAAATTGGTGGTTCTTATATTCGCTACTTGTGGGTTTGCATCGAGGCTATGAGATTTGGGGTTTATGCTACATGCTAGTTGTGAGTGATAAACAAGTCCATGAAATAAGTCCTAATTTTTCAATACAATATAATTATTCTTTATTACTTATTTGTTTTATTATCTTTATTTTGTTTTTTTATCTTGCAGGTTTGACTGAAAAAATATTATTTGCTAGAATTACTTGCATTATTCAAGGTATTTTCCAATTAAATTTGTTTAAGATTAGTGTCTTCTTGGTATTGAATTTGGCATTCTGGTTTGAACTGGAACTTTACTATTAGTGTAACTTTATTTGATTAATGTAAGATTTTGATTTAGTTTAGTATTTAAAAAATCACAGGCTGCAATCCAACCCATCCAACCCAATTACTAAATACACCCAACCCAACCCAACCCAACCCAGCCCAGCCCAATATATTTACTAAATACACTTAATTAAAAAAAAAAAAAAAAAAAAAGAGCTAATTACACCCAACCCAGCCCAATAGGTTCTGAAGTTTTCAATGAATTCACAAACAAATAATATTATTTATGCATTGAATGAAGTAATCTGATCATTGAAAATTAACATATCTTACATACATTAATTATAGCAATTGTAATTCCATAGTGATCATCGGCGACGGTTTGACTTCCATCTCTCATACCTGACCTTTTCAGTTCTGTCCAAGGACTCTTTCGCTTCCACTACCCATTCTAGCGGTTGTCCACCTTTTTTAGTCTTTGGTTAGGTGAGTTCTTAATCATTATTTTTCATACTTGTTTATCTCTAAATTTAGTTGATGTAATTATTTTGGTAAGTGGTTATATTTTGGTCACCTTCTAGTTATTAAATCATGGATAAGACTTAGATGAAGGGGAAAAAAAATGGTCAAAAAGATATGTGGAATGAGTATGATCTTTTTTGAAATTTGTGGAGAACAACTTAGGTGGCAAATGTGATATTAGATGTCTATGTATAGATTGTCTGAATTTGTACATCCAAAGGCAATGTTGTTTGCGATCACCTACTTATTCGAGGGATAGACACCGACTACACTAGATGGATCTATCATGGCGAGCTCTCTAATTAATTTTGATATTGGTTCTCCTTCTCATCCTAATGGTTGTGATGATGAGGACTATCATGGAACACCTAATAATGAGGGAGAGGATGATGGGATCCAGGAGATGTTAAATGACTTTGAGAATTTAAGAGATCATTGTATGGGAAGTGGTCCTCGTGGTGATGTTCATAGTGAGGCAGCAGGGCATTCATGTACGAGTTTTGAAAAGTTGTTGAGGGAAGGTCAACATGAGTTGTATCCAGGTTTTTCAAATTTCACAACATTGTCATTCATAGTAAAGTTGCTTCATTTGAAGGTGTATAACAAATGAAGCAATAAATCATTTGACATATTGCTTAGTTTACTTAAACAAGTGCAACCAATCGATGAGAAACTTCCAAAATCTTATTACGAAGCAAAAAACATGTTGCTGATTTGGGTTTAGGATATATCTCTATACATGCATGCAAGTATGATTGTGTCTTATTTTGGAAAGATTATAAGCGTTATCAATATTGTCCTAAGTGTGGTACTTCTAGATGGAAAATAGATGATGGGAAAGGCAAAAAAATTCCTCATAAAATTTTGCAATACTTCCCCTTGAAGTCGAGGCTTCAAAGGTTGTTTATATCAAGAAAACAGCTATAGAAATGAGGTGACATAAAGATGGAAGAGTAGATGATGAAATTTTGAGACATCCAGGTGATTCTCAGGTATGGAAAGATTTAGATAGGGATTTCCCATGGTTTGCACAAAACTCTCAAAATGTATGTCTTGGTCTAACAACCGAGGATTCAATCCATTTGGAAATATCACTATTAAAAAAACTTCATCCTTAATAGAACAATTTGACAGATTTTCTTGACAGTTCTCAAAACTGTTAAGAATTTTAATTCTTGACATTTCTAAACTATCAAGAATTTGAAATATTGACATTTTGGATAATTCTTGATAGTTATTAACCGCCAAGAATTTGGAAAAAATTAAATTTTATAAAAAAAAAATTTGACAGTTGTAGTCTCGATCCTTAACAATTTTTTTAACTGTTTCACTAAAGAAAAAGTTTCTTGCCCATTTTTCATTCTCTCTGCTGTAAATTATTTTCCCATTTTTCTTCTCCACGTCTCTCTGAGCTTTTGTCTTTGATTCTTCATTCTCACCTTAAATCCTTCTCTGATCTGCTTCGTTCTCACCCGATTATAAGATTAGCGCTGGCCTTCAAGTCCGTGACTTCAGCCACTCGTCAGTTCGTCATTCTTCAAGCTCTTTTTGTGCCGCCTTCAGCTGTGCTAGTGCCGCCTGCCGCTCACTCTATTTGTGTTCGGTCTTCATCATCACAACGTCTTTGAAGCTCATTCAGGTAATCTTCATCTTTGCTTCTTTTAGTTTAGAAGACCGAAATTTGGCCATAGAGTTTTTGTGTTATTTTGTTCTCTTCTGGACTTTTGGGTAGTTTTCGATTTTGTGTGTGTTTTGGAGATGTTGTATTGACACCGTGTGCTCACCGTTTATGCCGTGAGTGTCTCCTGGCAAGTTGGAGAACTCCTACTTCTGGTTTATGTTCTATTTGCAGGTACAATCTAGTAGCTTCAAGTACTTTGACTTGTATCATGTTGCCTTTTTCATTCCTTTCCCCTAGTCCTTTTGTTTTGTACTCGTTGGAGCTTTCTCATTAGGAATTTTTCTGGTCATACATTCTCAGGTAATGTGTTTTCACCTTATTGCAGGAAAGCCATCACTAGGCAAGACCTTATTACAGCCCCGACTGATAGTTGTTTCACGGTTGATGTTGAGAAAGTTAGGTGGAATCATCTAAAATTGTTGTTCTTTTGAAAGAACTTAAAAATCTTCGCAAATCAGGCTCCAAGAGCATTATACTTAGCCAGTGGACTACCTTTCTGGACCTCTTGCAGATTCCTCTTTCTCGGTAATACATTTAGCTGCCTAAAATTTTAAGAGTATATCAGTTGTGTGAGCACTAGCCCTTGATTAGAACCTCTTTTACACAATTTGGCTCATTCACTATTTAGAGAACAATCTTGCTATCCATTTATTAACTTCTCATCGCTGGATACTCTTAAGCAAATGATTTGTCAGATGCATTTATGTTGTTAAATCTTCATGAAGTTGATATTGGGCATGATGGTTGTTTAGGATATGAAACTGTCAGAGATCTTTTAGAATGCTTTTATGTGAGTGTTTTCCTGTAATGTTCTGGTTGAATGTCTTGGCTTTGTTATACTTTATCATGGAAGTCTCAATAATGCTATTTGGTAATGAATATTTATTTACTGCTGCATTAAATGTAACAGTGTTGTGAAGTTTTCTGCTCTAGAAATCTTGCACACCTGGAATTATATTAATCTATTTCTTGTTTTCTTTACAGGAATAATATTACATTTCTTCGCTTGGATGGAACTTATGTGATGTGAGAACAAATAAAAAACGATAAGCTTTAGGTTGGGACCATGCTTACAGATATATTTTAATTTTTTGTTGAAGGGCAATATCAGGCTTTCGTAATATTTTAAGGAGATTATCATATCTTTTAAAAAACCTAGCTCACTTTAATTAAGTATAAGGGTACTTTAATATTTGCACCAAATGAATAAAATCTTCAATAGTCGTGGTCTGTTAAATGAACCTTTTTTATGAGTTTGAGAACTTGGGATCTGTTTTCTCGCAAGTTTTTTAAACAATTGACCCTTAAATGATAACACTCCTAGACTTGTTTATGTATATTCAAAGCCTGTGATAGTTTGAGGCCCAAGTGTTTGTGAGGCCTTTACTGGCCCCTTCTGTTGGAAGTACAACAAATTTTCTCCCTTCTTCCTATTCAAAATGCTTCCGAAATTATTTGAATTGCTCAACATGATTGATGAACCAACGTTCATGTTTCTGCAGGATCCATGGTGGAATCCAGCTGTGGAGCAGCAAGCTGTCATGTGCATTCATTGTATTGGACAAACCAAGAGTCTCTGTCATTCATTTCCTATCACATGTAAAATTTCTTTTTAAGCCCCTAATAATAATGTTTTGGTTCATTAAAACTAAACTCTTGTACGATTTTATTGATATTTTTCCCTTTCATAGACCTAAGGCAAAACCGTATATTTTAGGTCTTGTAATTTCTCCTAGCCAGTTTGGTTTGGTTTGATAGATTTATAGAGTAAGATAGATTACTGGACCTGGCTTGAACCTTTTACATTATCACCAAAAAGTTTGTTCAGCTGTATTTTTAGATACAGTGGAAGGTATTGGACATGAGCCAAATTTTGCTGTAATATAATTTATGGCTGTATTATGGATAGAATGGATGAATAGATATTTTGTACGTTTTCTCTCTTTGTAATCCTTAACGTTTGAATTGGTGTATTGATTGCAATGTAATATTCATGTGGTTAATTATTCTTCTCAAATAATGCAAAATGGTAGCTGGATTGTCCCATCAACGGCTATTACTCAATGTTGATAATCGTCCCTGTAATGTTGTCAAAAGATAGAATTAATAGCAATTGAATTCTCTCGATGTTGGTTGTCCATTACATACCGAAACTGGTTCAATTTCTTTTCAAGTTGTGTCTTCCTCGAGAAGCCAATTTATGTCTAACTCTGTCCGCTAATTTTGTAAATGGAACATAGATTAATATATTAATTGTACATGTCATATACATAATTAATATAATAATGCTAATTAACCACATATTTCTTGCCTCCTTGTGTCATTTTTCTAGTTAGCCTACTAGCTAAAGTAAACAAAATTCATTTGAAGAGACTTGTCATCTTCCAATTTTCCCCATTAACACCAAGCTCCTCTGATAATTCATCCATCAATAATCCAAAGATGGCAAATTCAATCTCAAATGCCGTTTCTCCCACCTGCTCATCAATTTTTTTCCAACCATCAACTTCTCTTCTAAGGTCTTGTTCCACCATCATGTCAATGGTGTTTGATTCCACTTCTTTCCATGACTCCAACCTTCTGCAAACCCTTTTCGCTATTACTTCTCTGTCCACACAACAATTCTGTTCTCGTTCTTCCTCCGCAATTAAATCTGTCACCAGTCTCTTCATGTCTTCAGGAATTCGACGTACATTATTGAAGCTGAATTCTGTGAATACTTGTTTGACAAATCCATCAACATTTTTTTCGCCTTCCCATGACTCTAATTCACAATCTTCATATTCCTCTGCTTCATCTGTGTTATAGATATCATGGTCATTTTCATCCTCATCTTGTTCCAACATTCTTTTCTCGAGTTCGATAGGGTCCAGCTCTGCGAGTTTCTCAAACCTACGAAGCTTGTGCAATAGTTGCTGCTTCGTTCCTGTAAATATAACAAACAGAAGAAGAAAATAAATCACTATAAGTATGAGCATGATGTTTAACTACAAACTTTAATGATGCAGATCTTCACTGGAATATACAAACAAAGGTTTTAGATGCAACTCAAATCGTCTCACATTAAAGCGCATATAATCTGAACTAAATAAATTCGTATTTTGAAGCTTAGTTTTCAGTCTCAGTTCAATTCACCAGTCCTCGGCTTGCACTCCAAGATTTAATTTTTATTTCAATGGGTTCCACAAAATTCAAGATTCTGTCCAGATGAGCAAAGATAGAAAGGGACTGTGACAACTAATTATGGGACAATAAGGACTCATCAATTCTTTTAGCTTTAGGGAATACGTGAATCAGAATTCAATCCAAAGTCCAAACTGCGCAATCCTAATAACTACAAGAAGAGGAAATTCAAATCAATAAAGAATATGAAAGAAAGTAGACATCATTGTAAGGGAACTCGAAGAAGTACAATACAATAATGGATATTTAATACATCTACTGGATAATATTTCAGCTCTTTTGCCCTTAATGGACCCAGTAAAGTGGTCACTTTACAATAAAAAAAATATAAAATATAAAAGTTTAATTTAACTTGGGTGGGCAGTCCAGTAAATTGAAGGGTACTAGCAGAGTTAAGAGAGACCCCCCAACTTCAAAGTTAGTGGGCCATATATGAAGAACCTTCATATCAAGATGTGCAACAATCCCACACTCACTTTAATTTTTTATTAATTATTTTATGATAAAAGTCAAAAGATGAATGGAAGATGTGTCTTGATTTAACAACTAATAAGATCATCCGACCATAACAAGCAGTAACTATGTTAAACAAACACAAGTATGCTGAAGAAGTTATATTAAGCATATTGATAAAGACACCACAACCAACAAGCAAAGAGTACAAAAGTAATATGTTTGTGATTGTAACATACTTTGTACAAGAGCATAGCTGCATTCCAGATCAAAATGGTCATCATCTTCATCTTCATCTTCATCTTCATCTTCATCTTCATCTTCATTTCCTTCATCGTCATCCTCGAATGGAGGATCCAATACCGATACAGGACTGCATTGTTCCTTCTCTTCTTCCTCCTCTGCTCCCACTTGGAATTTCTTTAACACCTCTATCTCCTGATCATGATTAATCTCTTTGTCCTATTAAACATTTATTACATACTTCGATTAAGACATTTCTCCAAATGTGGGAATATAATTATAATTATAATAACAAACCATGATTAACACATTATTATAAATGGGGTTGTTGAATTAGTTAAGAATGAGTCTCATATGCCATATTCATAGTTTGTTGCATTGTTGACTTTTCTTCAAATTATCATAAAAACTACAACCGAATTTTGCAATTTACTCTTGAAAGAAATCAACAGAAAAAACAAAATCGTTTTGTCTTTATTGAGAAAATTATTTCGCTAAACACTGTTTAAAAAAAAGATTTGCATGGCAGAGACATGATCAGAACTACACTAATAAACATAAAAGAAACGATGGAGACAAACGAGCAAATGACTTGTATAACCCTCTAAAGAAGTAGTACATCTGGCACAAATTGGGTAATAAACTTAGGGCATATTTGTCATTTAATACAGACATTCCGGCCGAATTTGCAGAAAGAAAGTGACCGTATTGCCGACAATTCAAACATGACAAACTCAGTCAGCTGGCTCACGAGTTCACTGGTTAATAATGAAAATTAATAACAATTAATAATTAATAATATAAATACAATGATTAGACAAGACATAAAATGACAAACCTCTCTTATGTGGGTGTGGCGACAAGGGGATGTAGCCGGCGACGTAAATTCCGGTGTCCGGCGACCGGAGGAAGGACTTCTTTGAAGCACAAAACGAAAAGGGCTTTCGCAGAAGTGCTTCTCACAAGAAGCAAAATCTATGTTTTCTTTCTCACAAACAAATTCAATCTCTTTTTCAAAATCCTCAGACAGATCACTACTACAGGAGGTCTCTAAATCCAAATCTAAAGACTTGTTTTCTTCATTGCTTTCAGACCAAACAGCACTGTTGGTTCTCCCATTTGTTCTTATCTCAAAAGCACTTATCTCTAAAGCACTTATCTCTAAAGCACTTTTCTCCTCCACACGCATCATTTGTTCTTTAACTTGCTCATTCTTCGAATCCCACTTCAAAATATCCCTCACTGAGAGCTTATCACCATCACAAGAGCTTTCACGCTTTCTCGTTCGATTTCTATGCGTAAGTTTTTTCTTTATGGACCCAAATAAACCAACACTATTGTTTTTGTTTTGAGTTTTTTGTTTCTGAATCCTAAGAGCTGCTTCAAGAAGCAAAGCAGCGGTTCTCGCCGGTATGTGAAGAAAGATTTTATTAGGACTTCTACAAGGGCTTTTAGCCGGAGATGGAAATTCAAAGAGTGGAGATTTTCTAGGGTCTGGTGAGTCATGAAAGGAGAAAAAGCAAGCATTTTTGCAAAAATTTGTAGAAATTTTCGATGTTTGTGAGATGGGTTTACGTTTCTTAAGCTGCAACTGAGTATTTGGCGATCGTCCTTTGAGTTGGCAACGCCTGTCAGCAATGTAGTTCTTGAGTTGGAACGGTTCTTGATCTTCTTGTAGAAGCTGGTGTAAGTGTTTCTGTGCCATCATCACAAAAAATACAACAAATAAAACAAAGCTTCAATTTTTTCTCTTTTTTTTTTTTTTTTTTTACCAAGGAGATAAAAATCTAAGCACCATGAAAGACGACGACGTTGAAGAGGTTTCAACTTCAAAATGAAAATGTATTGCAAAATGAGAAGAGAAGAGAAGATTTAATTTTAAAGGAGATGNGCGACCCGAGGAAGGACTTCTTTGAAGCACAAAACGAAAAGGGCTTTCGCAGAAGTGCTTCTCACAAGAAGCAAAATCTATGTTTTCTTTCTCACAAACAAATTCAATCTCTTTTTCAAAATCCTCAGACAGATCACTACTACAGGAGGTCTCTAAATCCAAATCTAAAGACTTGTTTTCTTCATTGCTTTCAGACCAAACAGCACTGTTGGTTCTCCCATTTGTTCTTATCTCAAAAGCACTTATCTCTAAAGCACTTATCTCTAAAGCACTTTTCTCCTCCACACGCATCATTTGTTCTTTAACTTGCTCATTCTTCGAATCCCACTTCAAAATATCCCTCACTGAGAGCTTATCACCATCACAAGAGCTTTCACGCTTTCTCGTTCGATTTCTATGCGTAAGTTTTTTCTTTATGGACCCAAATAAACCAACACTATTGTTTTTGTTTTGAGTTTTTTGTTTCTGAATCCTAAGAGCTGCTTCAAGAAGCAAAGCAGCGGTTCTCGCCGGTATGTGAAGAAAGATTTTATTAGGACTTCTACAAGGGCTTTTAGCCGGAGATGGAAATTCAAAGAGTGGAGATTTTCTAGGGTCTGGTGAGTCATGAAAGGAGAAAAAGCAAGCATTTTTGCAAAAATTTGTAGAAATTTTCGATGTTTGTGAGATGGGTTTACGTTTCTTAAGCTGCAACTGAGTATTTGGCGATCGTCCTTTGAGTTGGCAACGCCTGTCAGCAATGTAGTTCTTGAGTTGGAACGGTTCTTGATCTTCTTGTAGAAGCTGGTGTAAGTGCTTCTGTGCCATCATCACAAAAAATACAACAAATAAAACAAAGCTTCAATTTTTTCTCTTTTTTTTTTTTTTTTTTTACCAAGGAGATAAAAATCTAAGCACCATGAAAGACGACGACGTTGAAGAGGTTTCAACTTCAAAATGAAAATGTATTGCAAAATGAGAAGAGAAGAGAAGATTTAATTTTAAAGGAGATGTAGTTGGAGAGTGAGAGAGAGAGAGAGAGAGTAAAAGAAAATTGAAGGGAAGGAATGAGGAGAGTTCCTGATTCAAATCTGAGGGATTAGAAAATCGAGGCAAACTGGTGATCAGTGATCAACATCTAGGTATATATAATCTCTAGAATAATGAACACAACTACGAGTTAAAAATACTTGGCTGCCACGTGTACATGTCTACTGTTTATACTTTATACTCAACTGAACTTGTATTGCAAAATTATTGTACCGTCCCCTTAGATTAAGGGTCGGGGTTACAGTTACACTAGGAGATTTTTACAAGCTACAAAGTAATAACTACTAATATTTCACAATTTTGTTTGTTCAAGTTTATTTTTTACCATATTTTTAGTTAGGACATAATTTTTTTCAAATTTCTGGAATAAGAGGACAAAAATTACAAATTATTTAATTCAAAGACATTTAACGATGATTTATTATAAAAAGCTTATATGTCCCGACCTTTTTTTCTATTTTTTAAACTAAATTTAATTTTTAAATTAAAAGGGTAAAAAGCACCCAAACAAATTTTAACAAAATCGAAAAATTTAAAATTAGAAGAAAATTTAATAGAAATGAAAATAAAACTAAGAATATATCTTAAAAATGCTTAAATTTTATTATTTTTTATTTTTTACTTTTTTAGAAATTTTAATTTATCTTTTAAAAAGAAATAACGTAAATTTATATAACCACCATTTTATCTTTATATAAAATTAAATCTAAGTGTAATTAATTGTTTAGTGCCTCTTAACTGAAAGATTTATAACTTTTATCTTTCCATTAAAAGTTTTTAATAAAATTTATCTACACAGAATTCTTTTAAATAAATAGCAAATTGCATAGGGGGAAATTAAAGAAAACAGAGAGGTGGAGTAACAGGATTGGCGAGAACTGCGCTGCTTGGCTGTAACAAGAGCATCTTTCCACGTAGTCCACATCTTTCCCGAGATTTTGAGAACCATTCGTCCACGATTGGCTCGTTTTCATCGTGCCCATTTATTATTTACTCTACCACCTGCTTTTTTTTATTTTATTGTTTAAGTAAATTGTACGTACTCTCATGTTATGCTGTAACCATCTTTTCATTTTTTATTAATCAAATCTTTATTCACCCGGACAGTAATTATTAGAGGAATCTATGTTACTTCTCTATTAGGTTGATGAATTTGACCGATTAAATTTGATTTTTATCTTTTTGAAATAGGTTCTTCCCATAGATATATATTTGGAGAATTGGAGTAAATAAACTTATAATGTAATAAAAAATAAAATTGACATAGTATTATTGTTGGTATTATAATTCGTAGAAGATAGGTGCGAAATTATGTAATCTCTATTTTTTTTATTATTATTATTCTTGGTTAAAATTAAGTAGATTATCTTATAATGACTCCTTCAATTGAGTATTAAAGTGATATATACCTTATTAATATATCTCATATTTGTGTATACAAGAGTTAAAAGTCCAAAAAACTTGCTAATTATTGTTTATCCTTGATTTCTATTTTATAAATAATTTTAAAAACAATTTTCACATAATTTGTTTAAAATTACAAATAATTTAATTGCTTTTCCTGATACTGTAGCTTAATTATCATTCAAGACTTTATTTTATACAGAATATTTTCTCTAGCATATTTAAGCAATGACAAATAACCTATAGATTATCTAAATATAATTTCATCAAACTTCCAATGCAATCAATAGGATGAAGAATCTTTACTATTTTTTTCTTTTTTTTTTTTTTTTTTTGAATTTCGCTTAATTAAAATTATTAGAATATAATAAATCTTTCCAAAGTTTAAACTCATGATAGGTTTTCTAAAATTTCAAAATTTATCCAAAAAAAATAATATAATGTTTCCCCTCATTAAATCCATATTGATAAGAATGATAAAATTGACCCTTGTGTTAAAGATTTAGGAGAGAGAGCTAATGGTAATGGTGGAGGCAACTTTACATAAAGTTGTACACTTTTTCTAATCGGAGAATAATAGGTATAGCTATTTAAAATGAATCGATTATTTCTTTTTAACAATGGCAAAAATTGATGCCCATTACAGAAAAAATAACACTTTCCAGCTGTACATTAAAAATATCACACACATTATAATTCTTTTCTACTTAATCCCATTTAAGCTGCCTTAAACACCCATTATTTCCCATCAATTCTAAGTAATTTAAATGGTATATTTTTTATAAATTAAAAGCCAGTTGGATCACACCGCAGATGAAAGCTGGTACAAACGCAAGAATAGTATTATTTTGTTTTTCACCCATGCACAATATGAAGCGTTGACGTTGTCATAGTAATGTCCAATCTGAAAATATCGTACAATTCACTAATTATCGCGCGATAAAATAAATAAAAAGTGAAGGAGGAACAAACGCAAAACGACAACGAATAAAAGACCACGCGTGCAACTAAGTTACAGTCTTACAGAGATTGACCCGTTTTTTTGACGCTCCTCTTCACTCAGCCTTTAATTCATAAATCAACTTTTTTATTTTATTAAATTGCCTATTAATTTTGTAATGTAACCATCAGGCTGTCGTTTTAAAAAAACCTGCGATGCGTGAGTGTGTGTGCGTATTGCGTAAGAGCGTTCTGCGGCGTCGTACCGGATTTTTACCTGACAGGTCCATTTCACAAATCAACTTTAATTTAAAGTTAGATATTATTTCAGTCTTTTTTATATTTTGTACTTTTACTTAGCAAGATCTTCTGTGACCCACCAGATTTTAACAATCAAGGGAGCTCTTTTTTTTTTTTAATCTTTTTTCTCTGAAAAATAATTAAAATTGATTCGTTAAATAAAACTTTAAAAATGAATTTTTAGAAGTCAGATTGATTATTTCACATTCATTGTGTAAAAAGATACAAATACTTGGGAAATAGTAATTTAAGAAAAAAGTTACTAGAAAATTTATATTTCTTCTGTATTTCTAATTCAAATATATTTTACTAAAATTAAAATGTAATTTTTATTAATGTCAGTAAATCTATTCAATTTTGGATTACAATAAATGAGTGGTTCTAATTTTAAGTTACAACATCTCCGTTATGTAATAAAAATTCACCTCGAAAAGGATATATGTTAAAATGTTAAAATGTTTTAACCATTGGAAAAATAATTTCATTTAATGGTTTATCAATTTTTATTTGAAATATATCTAAAAGTATAATAAATTTATTAGAGTATAAGGGATAATTAAGAATTTTTTCCATTTATTTTTTCCCTTACAGGCACGCATGCTCCTTTAAGATGTCGTGAAGTGCTTTATTTTCAAATTTAGAAACATTTTTACACATATTTCTTGTCTAATAAATAAAAAATAATTTACATATTGTTACTTAAGTTTGAATCTAAATATCATTATTATTTCTTTTACTCCAATTCTCAAAAGTACTCTTATATACTGTAATTATAATATTTACATCTATACTCATAATCTGAAATATTGTTATGGTTGTTGTTTTTGTTACGTTATTATAATTATTTTAATAATCATTATTATTACATCATTATTTCTATTATTACGACTATTGTTGTTGTAATTTTTTTTTTTTTCAAATGATAGGAGATGTCTAGACCAACTTACGCAAACTTCAACTAATCCCTTAGAATCCTAAAATTACTAGCTAGGTAAGAGCTTCAGTGTCTACCCTTATTAGCAACCGTGAGAACTCGAACTCAAGAGACCATGTTATATTATCTCCTTACTCTTTTTACCTTCAAGGAGACTCAAACTTGTTAGATCATGTTAGATCTTATTTTTGCTCTTTTACTATTAAAAGAATTCAAACTTGGGAGACCATGTTAGATCATCATTTACTCTTTTACCATCAAGCTACCCAATGGTGGTTAATTATTATTGTTGTAGTTAGCAATTAATTTTTTAAAAATATATTTTAGTAGTGTGAATTTTACTGTTTATTTATCTATTTTTTTATGCTAATTCCCAATCAATTGATTTTTTAAAAAAGAATAAACAAAAAAAATCATGTATACAATTGGAGAAATTTAAAAGTTACTCAAATGATAAAATTCACCTCAACAACACATAGCTTTGCATATTACACTCATATGTAGACATTATAAAAGAAAAAAACTATATATTATTTAGATTAATACATTTAACCTAAGATGAAAGAAATAACTATTAACTAATTCTTTATTGGGACTTGATAAAGCTAATTTAATATTTCTTGAATATCCTTTATATTTCCATTTAACAAAATAAAAAGCAGAATAATAAATGAGTTATTTGTAGCTGTATATATGTTCTAAATATGGCAATAATATACACTATCATTTACTTGGTAGGCCACACAATTTGTCAAATTAGGACTTGGAATTTTAAATTCATGAGTACCTAATTTAACTATTCTTCATGCTCAAACAAACCACTTATTATGAGCCACATTTTTAGAAGGAAAAAAAAATATAAATAAAGGGATCTACATTAATTATAGTAATTCAAGGTAAAAAATAAACTACTAAAATCAATGGCAAATAATTTTAATCTAGGGTACAGCTGTCACTAGTAAGTTTTTATTATTATATCTCCCGTCAACAACTCGTAGCTTTACCAAACTCAATTCACTCAAAGGCGGCAAACTATAAAACTTCACCATGCCTTGAATGTTGCAGAAACTACAAAAGCTAGAAATTCCTATTATTATTTAATATAAATATTTTTTAATTATCTATTCATCATAAAATTCTAAATTCAAATTTTGTATGCGCGATTTTGACACCAATCAAATGCATGTGTGAAATACTGAACAGA